GCTGCTGAGACGCCGCCGCCGTGCCTGCTGCCGCCGCCGCTGCTGCTGCTCGTGTCGCCGCCTTGCTCGGCCGCGAGCACCAGCTTCAGTGCCGCCGTAACTTTGGCCACGTCAGTGGTATTGCTGCAACCCCCCCCTGCTCCGCCAAAACCTCCGCCATCACGAATGTCCTCGCTCGCCAACTCTTCCCGCTGCCGCTGATGGAGCGGTCGCTCTACGCTACCACCCCCGTCACCGTCCGGCTGGCGATGATCCCGTCCAGCAGCACTCCTCGCGCCGTCATGCAACCCCGCAGCGTGTCGGCTGCCACCCTCTCGGCGGCCGGGGGGGTTGGCCCGCGGCGGCTTGTACCGCTTCTGGCTCGCGGCCAGGGCTTCCCCCGACAGCGACGCGCCCCTGGCCATCTCTTCCTCCGTGAGGGACAGGGTGGGGGCTAGCCGGCTCCACTCGTGCTCGAGGTGAAGGTAGACGCTCTGCTTCTCCTCCGCGTAGGAAGCAAAGACCACCCGCGCCTGCAACCCGCCTCCATCCGCCGGGACGATCTCCGCGACCTGTGGTAGGACGGGGGGGAGGCGGGGGGGCGAAGGTTGGCTGGTGACGTGGTGTACAGCGGCAAGTCAGTACTGCTGTAAGATAGTGTTGTTGTTGTTGCTGCTGCTGCCATTGTTGTTGTTGTTGTCGATGTCTTCACAGCCAGAATCGTTCCCGTCTTTACTCAGTCCCGACTCGGGCGCCATCCCGTGGTGATGCGGTAGGGTGGATATTCGTGGGGATTCTCGCAAAGCGGTTGCCCGACATAAAACGTGGATACAGCTGGTATCGTCCCGCATGTGCCGCAAGAACAAGAGCGCGGGCCTAACGTCAAGAACTGGTCGGTGTCGCTTTCGTCGTACGCAGCAGTAGAGAAAGGACAGCGGATGGTTGGTCTGTCTGTCCGACCTTGCCTTGGGCTTTCCGACTGCTGTACGCTCAAACTTGTGTTATGTGTGTACCATCTACACAAGCAGGTAAAGAAGAAGGTGTCACTGGCTCTGCAACAGCGCTGTGTGTTATCTTGAGGGCAGTTGCTTGAGAACGGCAACCACCGCAGACCCGTTTCCGACTTCTGTCAACACTCGCATTTCCAACAATCCAATCCCGAGCCTATTCCTTTCTCAGCTGCGAAAGTGACGCTATTAGAGAAAGGAAGAACCAGCGCATCAACAACACGATTGATTCGCCGGTCGTTCTTGTGGGGTTTCCAGTCATACAATCTAATCCCCAAACTCGGGTGGCCGAAGGGTGGCGGGTGCGACCAAAACAGCAGCGGCCTAAATAAACTCAACACTAGCCCAGTATCCCGCGAATTTTTCCGCCACTCGATGCAAAGGCTTCAACAAATCATTCCCTTCGACTAGAGTTGCGGTACAGTAAATCTCCAACGGGTACAGCTACACGCATGTCCTCGAAAAACATAACAACATGTACAAACATCTATTGTACATGAACATTGCGTGACACATGTGTAGCAGTGATATCAATGTTTTTCATATTTTCTCCAATAGATTATGTCGTCTTCGTTCGTTGTCTGTTGTTTAGTTCGTAGTGAGCCTGGTCTCGACTGACAAGTTCGTTAACTCCGCCGAGTCTGGACTGAAAGGGATCCTGCATGAACGCTCGAAATCGCCAGTAAAAGGTAAAGGGGAGGCACTCCAAAAAACACAAGTCAGTGGATGGCATATCGGCAAAACAGGTTGACGTTTTCTCGTCACACACGCGAATATGTAGAACACCCTCAACCCATCGTGTGAAGCCCGGAGGACCCCCCGCCATTCCGCTGAGGTCCAACAAGCCGGAGCTGGATCCCAGACAAACACATGTACATACATCGGCCAGCGAGACATGTAACAGCTTCGACCATGAACGCGTAAATAAGCACGAAGGTGACAGTAACGTGCGCGTCAGAGGCAGAGAGAGAGAGAGAGAGAAAGAGAGAGAGAGAGAGCTAGAGCAGCAGCGCATGCCACGGCAGCTGACCTACTCCGCCGCTTTCGATCACACACGAACACCCTTCATCTGCCCCGGAATGGAACACGGCCCAACGGAGAAACAAAACTTCATTTGCCACTGAAAGAGCCAGCATTCGCAGCAACAATTGCCAAACGATTGCCATGGGGCTCCTCAAGAGTACAGGAGTTGAGGTGCCGAGGCGGTGCTGGCTATACTCGTTCCGTAGTTCTCTCTCTCCCTGCCTCGCGTGAAAACTAGAGTCAAACGTGAACACACACACAATTTTTTACTGCATGGATAATAGGGGGTCTTTTGTCTGATGTCTTCGGGCTTTCTTGTGTTGTGGGTCGCATGGTTGAAGACCTGCAGCTTGCTGGATCTCGGGCGGCATGATTGACATGTTCCTATCACCCCGGTGGTATAGTTGGTATCTTCGAAACCTTCTAGAGGTAAAGGTCAGGGGTTCGAATCCCGGCGTAAGCGAGCTTTTCTTGCAAAGTGAGTTTTTCTCTCGCTTCCGCTCCTGGTCTAGTGGATGGCGCTAGTTCGTGTGTACACAGAGGGAGAAGAGAGTGCTAAACTCTTCTCGCATTGAAAATCGAAGGCAAAGTACCGCAGGAGGGGAGGGTAGAGGGGGGCTCCTCTGTGTTACCACGGGTTGGAAACGGCACCAGTGCTGTGAGCGCTGACTTGAAGTGAAGACAAAAAAAAAAAAATCAATACAACCTTCTATTCAAAACTCCGGGAGCTCAGACCTGGTGCATCGCCACCCACCAGTGCAACAAAACTGTTCGGGGTTGGGAGGACCAACCGGAAAGCTCTTAGAACTCGCTTATGGCTTCTGGTCTGCTTTTTCTGGCGTCAGCCGGCCGGTATGTACAGCGTAGGGGCCCTACGCGGTACGTTCTGGCGTATTGTAACTCGAGTGTTTTGTTACACCACTTTAGTAGATACAGGTGTACGCTGACGTTTACAATTGCACACCGTTTAGCAAGTTTGTGGAAGCACCAGCCGGGATGACACAGCAGCAGGAAGTCCACTTACGGGAGCGAGCTCTTTTTCTTCGGGCTGCCTACAACACGTGTTCGCAAACCAACCATGGCAAGCAACATGCTGAAGACTAGGCTACGGCACATGCTCTCACTTGGTACATGTGCATACCAACTCATACAACCGCCGGGAGATGGAATAAAAAGAGGAACCAACAAGCACGCCGTGCATGACGTCCGATTCCTGCACGAGAGAACATTCCCCCCCACCTACCTCAGCCGGGCGCCATTGTCGAATCTCATCGCCCCCGGTCGCCGAAATAAAAATGTCCAGGTACAGCAGTTCCGTCCCTGGCTCCAGTCCCGTCGCTATTAATTTTATTTCCGCCGCCCGTCCTCCTCGCAAGCTATCCTCCGAGCTGCTATCCCTCCCCATCGGCTCCCCCTCAACCACCGCCCGCGCTTGCCCGCCAGCGTCGGCATCTTCCGCGGTGTCGGAGTCGGATAACCCTGCCCGCCGTGGTGGCCGTCCCGTTGTAGTTGCAGCAGGCGGCGTTGCTGCTGCTGCTGCTGGTGTCCGCCTCCTTGCCTCGCAGCTCGGCAGGCAAGGCCGTGCGGCCGGCGGCGGAGTTGTCAGCGTGTCTTCATCTTCTGCCGCCCCCGCCCCCGCCTGCCGTGCCTTCACACCCCCAGTTGCTGCTGCTGCTGCCACTGCTGCTGCTGCTGCTGCTGTAGCGGTTGCTGCCCCAGCCGGTCGCATCGGTGAGATTCCCGGGAAGATCGTGTGCGATTTCCTCTTCGCCGCCGCATCCGAACCCCGCCTGCTGAACGCTCCCGACGCTGGCCGTCTGCTGCTGCTGCTCGAGCTGCCGCTGCCGTGCCTTCGCTTGGCCATGGCGTCGGCACCAGCGATCGGCTTCTTAGGCGCATCGGCTACCCCTGCTCGCTGGAGCAGGCTGGGGCCCACGCCTTCCCCCTTGCCTCCGTTGGGTACTGATAATGATGATGCGGGATCTGCTGCTTGCACCTGCGACGAGGAAGGGAGAGACATCATCCGCTTCTTCCCAAGAAACCAGGCGGAAAACCACTTCCTGTTTGACACTCGAGCGCTTGGAGCCGCCGCCGAGCCTGCTGCTGCCTCCTCGGATCCGAACCCATCGAGACGAGTGCTGTCGAGGCTTTTTCGCCGTTCTACGACGGCGGGGCCGGAAGAAGGCAGCATTGTTCGGTCGCCAATGGTGATCGGCCCGCTGGCTCGGGGAGCAGGAGCACTCCCAGATGGTTCTCCTGCGGCGATGCCCATCTCCACCTGCCAACTCCGAGACCTTCTACGCCGGATAGGACGCTGCGGATTCTTCGAGGGGTGGAGCGAAGACTTCCGAGCGGAATAGATGTCCTCGTTCGCTGCGAAGGTGGCCATGACCACCGCGACTGCTGGCTGCTTCCAACGCGCCTCTCACACCGATCGTCCACTGCAGCAGTGTTCCGTGGCTGCACACGCACATGAGCTTACGGGGGGGGGTTCCGTCCATGAAATGCACCCCCCCCTCGATTCGCTCTCATTCCTTTCTGTGAACCCACGATCCGCATGACGCAAGATGATCATGCATCATAGTCATGGACGACATCACATGAGCCATATGTTGCACATGATAGCGCTACGCCTCACACAGTGTTAGAATGTATGTAGGGTTGGAACGTTCCTTCGAAGAGTGTCACCCCACCCCTTCACATAAATACACCACGATACAGATGTAATTGCTGTCACGCCGTATCATTTCGTCCGCCGACAGCCTGAAACCATGGTGTTGTTGAGAGGGAGGGGGATGAATCCTGGTTACTACTGATGACACGGACGGTCTGTGGATACGAGATTTTGCGCTATAGATATTGGTAGGTGGGGCAATCGGTGGGGTTTTAATTACGGCACGTCCTGCATATACAGGAAGCAGTATCAACGGTGGGATTGTTCGCATGAAGTGAAACGCTTTTCGTACTCGCTCCCTGAAAGTAGGTGATTCCAAGTCTCTGATACAAGTCGTAATTATGCTGACCCCGCTAACATGAAATAAATTCCGCCACTCTTACACCCAGTCCGACACACGCAACCTAAAAAAGCTACTGGCCATGCCTCGTCATTCATCTCTACACACGCTAGACACCAAAGGAGTCGCTTCTTTTCTTGCACTTACCACCATCATCTGCCCTGAGATACGTTCAAATAGGCGCATTGTTGGATAGTTTTACGGCGAAAACCATCAGTCTCACCACATGGTACAGCATACACTCACAAATTGCGAAATAAAATAACTGCGCAACACACGTTTGTGTGTGCAGGATGAAGTGCCGTCTCCATCTTTTCGCACTGCCACGAACGCAGAAGAAAGCGATGATCATCGCCCGACATCCTTTCCTCGTCCTTTCACCCCGCGATACGTGCATAACTACCAACGCAGTGCTTGTGCAACCAAACGGGACGGACTCTCACCAAACATACAGGATTGTCACTATCTGTTGCGCCGCCAAAGGCATATTCTTACAACAGCCAACGGCGCGCGCACAACGTACAGCTGAAGATGCTCATCACAACAGAAACACGATTGCAGGCCGTGCATACAGCCGAATCTTCTGCAAGCTACAAAAAAAGTCGGGCAAGAGATGCGGGGGATCGACGAAAACCGCCGGCTTGTTCCCTAACGCACGACAAGAGCAGGAGTCCGTCCAACTCGCATCGCTACACAACCACACCACGCAACACCACACACCACCGTCACTTACGGCTACACTCCACGTCAAAAAACCAGCTGTGTAGTTGCTTCTTCTTGAAAGGAAAAAAAGGGATTTGTATTTGTCAAAAAAAAAAAAACAGGAACGTGCACGTAGAAAACGCACTAATATATGCATATTCTTAACGAGGAAACATAAGCACTGACACTAAGAATTGTCTTCCTCCTTCCATACCGGATCCCGAGGCAAAAAAACAACAACATGACGCGAGCAGTCTCGAGCCTATTCACCGAGCTCCTCCTTGTCAACGGGGGTGGAGGCGTTCAAATCTCCAGCTATAGGAGACACACCTTGCACGCATCTCACGCTTTCCGGAACAAAAGAACGAAAAACCATGTCGGGTCGTCGACGGAAATACCTTTTTTTTAATTACTTTTTCCGATCAAGAGATGGGCGCGATCCTGTTCGGTGTGCGGCGGAATTCTCTACATTCTTCTGTCAAGAGATGGGCGCGATGTCGGTCGTCGTCTTCGTCTTGTTCCTTTTCGGCGCGGGGCCCTTCTTCCTCCCCGCGGCCGTCTTCTTGGCAGCGGCCGACTTCTTTGCCTTGGGTTTCGGCTTCGGTTTGGCCGGCGCCCGCTTCTTCGGCTTGGGCTTCTCAGCCTTCTGCTTGGCCTTCGGCTTGGGCTTCTCAGTCTTAGCCTTGGCAGCCTTGCGCTTCTTCACGTCTGCCAGCAACGGTTTCGCAGTGGCCTTGCCCCGCCCGCTCCCGAGCCTCATGTGGAGGCCGTTGCCCGAGAAGCCTTCGCTGAAGGCCTCTATCTCCGGCGGCGGCGCCGACTCCAGCTTCTGCTCGCCCTGGATGCTCATCGTCAGGTCCGCCAGGGAGACGAGCTGGCACTTGGGGGAGGCGTTCGCCTTCCCGACCTTGCTCGCGCCCGGCTCTTTCCCCACGATGAGCATGTCGGTCTTGCCCGAGATCGCGGAAGTCACCCTCGCGCCGAAGGACTCGCACATGCTCCGGAGCCTGTCCTTGCCCTGGTTAAGGCCGGCCCCTCCCCCGATCTCCGGGAAGACCCCCGTCATGACGATCGTCTTGCCCTTGAGGAAGTCCGCCCGCGCGCCGTTGACGCCCGGCCGCGGGACGACGTAGAAGCGGCGGCGGGCGGCGGACGGGGCCACCATCGACTCTTGGGGTTGGAAGCGACTTACCGCTGAACCGCTCGGAGGAGGAGCGGCGGCGGCGACGGGCGACGCGGGGCCATAGGTCGAATATCCGGAACCGGCTGCTGAGTAGTGGGAGGAGGAGGAGGAGGAGGAAGAGCCACCGGCTGCATCACTTGCCCCCGCGGCGTGCGCCGGAGCGCTACCGCTGCCGCTGCTGCCGCCGCCGCTGCTGGCACCGCCTGCTCCGGCGCTGCTGCCGCGGCCGGAGGAGGAGGCGGTGCCGACGTCCGCAGCGCGGACCCTCCTCCTACCCTGGAGGCTCGCCCAGTTACTCTTGTCCGCGGCGTGGGCCGCGACCTGCCGCTGGTCGTGGGGGGACAGATCGTTGAATCCGGTGAACTGCACCTCGTTCATGCCCGAGAGGGCGGCGACGCACGCCTCCAGGATGCCGCCGCTGCCGCCACCGCCGTCCCCGTCGGCCTGCGCGAGCCCCATCCATATCCGGCTGGGCACGCGCCAGCACTTGAGGTGGACCCAGCGGCCGTACGACCCGGACTGCGCGTCGAGGGAGCCGATGCGGATCTCTCCCTTCCCGATGAGCGGCCCCTCGTCGGCGCACCGCCGCGCCGACTGGGTGCGTTGGGTGCACTTGCTCCGGCCGGACCTGGCCAGCTCCACCTTGTACGGGGGCACCTCCTCCGCCGCCGCGTCGTAGTAGTACTGCCAGGGCATGTGGGTGGTCGATGGGGACGCAGACCTAGCAGCGCCGCCGCCGCCGCCGCTGCTATTATAGTCGTAGTCGTATCTGTCCTGTGTCGTCGACTCCGCGGCGGCCACGAACGACGGCACGGCCCGGTCCTCGTAGAGCTTGCGGATGAGCTCCCACGAGGAGTTGACGTCGCGGAACTCGGCCGCGTCGCCGCCCTTGTCCGGGTGGACCATCAGGATCTTCTTGAAGTAGGCCTTCTTGATCGCCGTAAACTCCTCCGTGAGGCTCGCGCAGCGCGTCAGCTCGGGCCCGGCGGGGTCGATCCCAATCTTGGCGAGGCACCGCCGCACCGACGTGGACGTGCCGCCGCTGCCGTCGCCGCCATCGTAGTCCGAGTCCGAGTCCGAGTCCGAACACGACATCGGGGCCCTGTTGGTGTGTTGGAGAACGTCACGCGCGCGCGTTCAATCCGAAGCGTGCCTGAACGGGCCAGGGTTGGGCGTGCGAGTACCAAGTGAGAGGTGTCAGCAAGGCGTTGCTAATTGTAGGCATACCGAACCCGAAAATCATATCGTTTTTACTTTGAGAAAGTGCATACATAGTGTCACAGAAAGATTATGCACCCGTTCGAGACATACCCAATGTCGAAAGGGATGTGTTGAAGTCTTTTCAGTGAGTGGAGGGAAACCGGCTGGAAACTGGGCTTTTTTTGAGTATACACTGAATGGTATCAGTGATGCCAGCTGTTGCTACTGTAAGAACAAAGGCATCGGTATAGGCAGTAGGCAGAAAGCATGTAGCCATTGTTAGGAAAAATAAATACACACAGAATGACTGCCCGTTCGAGATATACAGCATGTAGCCATTGTTAGGAAAAATAAATACACACAGAATGACTGCCCGTTCGAGATATACCCACATTCGATTGTTGTTGACATGCTGATAATTGCGCCGCGTTTGTTTTTTCTGCGAATTTGTAACCAGAGGCCCAGAGCGAGCGGGTTGCATTGCTCTGCTATACAGCCAAGTATAGCGCTTCTCTTATGAGTACTGAGTGACCTCCTCACTACTCAGGTCATCATAGGATGGCAAGAAACAGCAGCGCCCATCGGATTCATGTACTATGTAGAAGTACTCCTCGGCCTACAGAAATTAGAGGCAGTTTGGTCGTCGCTCAAGGTCCACCGCACACGTTCCAATCCACGCCGCTTGTAAATAGCAATACACGTAGCAGCCCGTTTTGAAGGCTAAGCTTTGTCTTTGATATTGACGAGAGTTGGCTTGTTGACGTACAACGACCTTGGTGTCCAAACTGCAATCACCACCGGTTGACACTTTTGCACCGCCCAGCGCGGCCGGGAGGAGGGCGGGGAACTGGTACAAGAACATGAATTTTTGAAAAAAAAAGTGAGGGCGCGCGTCGGGGGCACACACGCTGGTCAATCCACTGCTGTAGCACGAGAAATGCTGGATTGCCAGCCCGTACCTTCACAAGAGGTGTCCTAGGCGGCGGCGTAGCTCGTAGGTTGGACGGGAACGATGCCCACGCCTTACAAAGCAAGGTGTGAGTTGGGGGGGTCCGCAGAAATTATGAAAATACTGGTATACGGGGATCAACGGCACCGCAGCCACTACCAAACAATGCAGAGTTCTGAGCACACGCGACGCGGTTGTAGGTCCATGTTTGGTTAGGCGTTGTGTGCGAATACTACTTCGTACGCTCGGTGACGACTGCCGGGTCATAGGTCCCAAGCATGCCTGGAATTTGCATACCAACCGATCATGGACGACGGTTCAAGCAAAGCGGCAAAGCCAGCAACGGAGCAAGTATCAAGTATTCGGGACAACCACCGGGCAAATGTGGGCGAATTCCCATATCCGAAAAATGCAATAACAGCTGTAACCATTTATCATACATGGTACACTTTTGGCAGAACAAGTTCTGTGTACATCATCACATCATCAACGGGCGAAGAGATGAAAGTTGTGAATTTTTACTACAGATAATAGAAGGAAAACATCACGCACACTTGTACAGCGGTGGTGGGTGCCATTCGACGAAAGTTACACAGGAATGCAGCTGTGGTGTTGTAGCACGCGGGCCATCAGGCAATATCGAAATCAGTTTTCGCAGCACAACAAGCTGTGTGTATGTTCGTGTGTGTGTGACGAGCGTGCCGTCTTTGCACTAACGGCGCGTGTTCCGTTTTTTCCTACTCCCGTTGGCCTCGTTGATGGTGATGTTGTCGATCACCGGCAGAGATGCTGTATTCTACCGCAAACCAGAAAAGACACGCTATCACCGGGACATCGTTGCCCTACTCGCGCTTCGGCCACACTACAATCGCGCAAGACAAAAGCTCGTTCCTTCGTGCCGTGCGTAGCAGCAGCCACAAGCACGGTCGTTCGAAATACAAAATTGGTTGAACCACTCCACGAACCGATTCGACACTCAACTCCAATGAATGACACTGCAAAAACACCGCGTGCCGGCCAACTTTTCCTGCAAAACCGCAACAACACAAAGAACATGAAATAACACGATGGTCCGACCACCGCGATAGAAAGCAGCCAGCCCAGTCACACGACAACCTCTCGAACGCCAGCATCGAGGCGATCCTGGGCCGAATCCAGACAAAAGGCCGAAAATATGCTTGAGCATACATTTACAGCTTGATTGACCCACGGACAGAACACAATACTTGCTCGCCGCCCGGAACAATAATCGTAATAAACACTATTACACTTGAGCTACTGCAACACCCCACAGCAGTAGCTTGGCAATTGCGAACGTTACACAGAAAAACGACCCACTTCTTAAAGTCCAATCCTACGAGCAACTGCCGTAAACACAACACACCGCGCTTCGTCTGCTGTCATCGCTCTTCCAACGAGGCCATCGGGGGCGAAGCTCTCCCGCCCGAGTCACCGGGTTCGTTGTCCGGCCACCGCTGAGTCCCTCCCAGGCCCAACCGCAGGACGTCACCGCTTTCTTCTTGTCTCCGGGGGGATTCCTGCCCCTGCAACAAGCGCTCCTCCTCCCACTGCTGCTGCTGCTGCTGCTGCTGCTGCCGTTGTCCCCCACCCCTGAAAACCTGTCCCGTTCCGTCCGCGGGACCCGGGGAAGCCTGCGCTGGTGACGTCATGCCCCTCCCGCTGACGACAGCTCTGCTCCCCCCCGCCCCGGCGTGGGCCCTACCGCCGCCTGCGCCGCCTCCTCCCACAACTGCCCAACCCCCTCCCTCAGCAGCCTCCCCGCCATCAACTCGTTTCCGATGATGCCCATCAGGTGCATCCTCATTGCCTTTCGTCGCTACCGTTACGTCGTTAATCTTGTTGCTTCTGACACCAGCGGTGCTCGCGGCAACAGGACCCACGGTGTAGGGCGACGCTCCTCGTCCCCCTCCTCCTCCTCCTCCTCCTTCTCCTCCTCCTGCTGCTCCATCAGGACAGCCAGAGGCTCTTGGGAGGGAAGATTGTCCTCTAGCCGGTGCAGCAGCAATTTCGGTGGCGGCACCGGCCACGGCGATAGGGTCTCTCAGCGGCTTGGTTGTCTCCGCCGGCCCACCCCTACCCAAAAGAGCGCTCCCTGCAGGATAAGCCACTGCTTGTCTGCCGTCCGGACAGAGCGCGGCAGGGACTGGTGCATCAGCCTGGGCTGCCGGGGGCACCGCCGAACCAGCATACGCCGGTACGGGCGTATCTTCTGCCCTCTGCATCTCCCCCGCCTCTTTCTTCTCCTCCTCCTCCACGCCTCTGCTCCCGCTCGGGGGGGAGAAGACCGGCACGATACCTTGGCCCTCTCCTTCAACACCCCGACCGGTTTCTCTACGAACGCCCGCCCCGTCCCCTCCGCCGCTGCCGGTGGCTTCGGCAGAATCGGAATCACCGCTAGTTTCGGAGCTGCTGCCCCCATGCCGCCGCTGAACCAGATCCGTGGCGGCTGTTCGGGCATGTCCTACTCCGGTCGTCGTCGCCACCGCCTCTCCCGCCGCCGCCGCCGCCGCCTGCCCATCAACCGTCGAAGTCTGCAACACCCTCCACAACGAGAACGGAAACGACCCCAGCAGCGGCGCAGACACGTTGTGTCTCCTCGTGTGCCTCGCCGAGACGACAGACCTGCCGTCACCCCCACCGCTACGGCCCCCGACCCAACCGCTCGGAACCGGCCACCCCGCCGCCGTACGTCGAGCAACCGGGCTCGTCGCTCGTACGTCAGCACGTGGCGGCTCCAACGCGACCGGAGGCGACGCTGCCGCAGGCGCCTCGGTAGCCGTACCGGGAGCGACGCCGTTGCCGCGCGCGCTGCCGCTGCTGTTGCTGCCGAGAGGCGGCGATGGACTTGTCGGGTCCGGGGAAGAGTTTCTCCTCGAGATGACGCGGCCCGCGTCTAGTGCAGCAGCGGGCAGGATAGACTCCTTGGCACGGGAAGAAAACCAAAAGAGAGCACAACACGTGCATGGCCAGGAACACGGGGACGCCGGCAGGATAAGAGGCACGCAGAAGCGGGTGGCAGGAGGTAAGGACGTTGGGCGCCAAAACAGAACCGGCTGGTGCGCTGGTAAAAACATCGGCTTTCAAACAAAGTCACCAAAACGGACAACACACGGATGACGAAACAGGCAGTAAGGGCGGCAAACATCTCCAACACAAAAGAACCCGCTGCTTGGATCATTTCAGCCGACACCTAAGGGGGCGTGCCTCGGCGGTCGTGCCAAACAGTGGGCAAAAAATACCGTTTCGTCGTCGTTGGCGCTTTCGCGTGGCTCAGCCGTCACATAGGTTCAAACGTCTCGACTATCCATCCAGCACTTATCTCGCCCGCTCGTCTGCCAGTAACGCTATCCCCGGCGGGCTGTAACGGACGCCAAAGGAAGCAAGACATAGCAACAGACGACCCCGGTCTCAGCGACTGCAGCGCCCACGGGAGAAACAGCACCAACACACCTCTCGCGGCTGCTCGAGAGACGAAGCCGTGGCCGCCCGCTGCCGCCCCGTCGCCGGCACATCGCCGCCGCCGCCGCTGCCGCTGCCGCCGCCCGGACGCGACAGGAGCGGCATGCCCATGCCGTGGGGGTCATACCTCGGCACGACTCCGATGACCATGCCCGCCTGCCGCGGCCGCGAGGCGGAGACGACCCCCGCCCTCAGCGCCGGAACCTGATTGGTGAATCGGGAGTTTGATCGCGTCGCACGCAACTTAGAGAGGGGGACCAAGGGAAACAAACAAATCCACACGTGAAACCAGGCACAGCAGAGAGCACGTGCCGTAAAGCTGGGAATCAATGGGCAAGGAAAATGCATGTAACAGGGGAGAACAGTTAACCTCGTCGATGAATCTTGTTTTTCGATTTCGCCGACCGTTGGTTTGCCTCCATAATATGTTCGGGGGGGGGGGGGGGGGGGGG